TGCATTCTAGACGTAGTTAACTTGTAAATGAAGGTTTATCACGACATATAGGCGTTAAAAATGTAAAGTTTTGGGGTCATATTTTGCCATTTTTCATTGCTGTAGGTAATTTTTCTCCACCTTTTTCTCCACCTCCACCGTAATTTTTGGAATTTTCTTGCTTTTTGTTTCCTTTTCGTGTTTTTTGGTATTGAATGTTTCATGAATTTACGACGACACCAAGATTAAGTTTTTGTTGAAACATGAGCTCTTGATCGAATTCACTACTGCAGTGTACTACGTTTCAAAATTTTACTGGTCTTCGGTAACTTACTGAACGTTTTTGAACTGACGGTTGCAACATCGGAAAAAAGGATTGCAACTTTTCTGAAATAATGACTTTACATTAAATATAATTGAATGTAATAAATGTAATTTAATGTGTATAAATTCGTTTTATTTTAAATTGTAAAATTCATTCAATCAATAAACATATTCATACAAATTTTGGGGTATTTTTTATATAACAAATACGTCATATCCCCTTATTTTAAGTCATTTTGAGGTTATTTTCCTCTTATTTTTAAGTAATCTCTTAGGCCTTTTTCAGAGAATTTTTAGATCATCGGAATCCGCGCCCTCCTCAGGAGTATCGGGCATGTCACGACAAAGCAGAGAGTTCAACAGATGCCTCCCGAACCGACGACTGAGCACTTCTGTATGTGATTTGCAACCGAGGCCACGATCAGTCTTTCCTGCGGTCGGCGGGTAGGGGCCACAAGGCATTAGGGAGTTTTTGCACGGCGAAGCGTCACAGCAATCGACAGCCCTAGCGATGATATGCGCAAGCGCAGCTCGAGTTTCGCATTGCAGCAACGATTCACCGTGCAAATAGTTTCACTATACCAAATAGCTTCGCGTTCGAAAACGTGCTACCTTATCACTCCTGTTCAGGTACGAGGCTTTTGCCCTACTGGGGGATCTTTGTGGACTAAAAATAAATAAATAAATAAATAAATAAATAAATAAATAAATTCTTCGATTTAAACATAGGGTATGTTGACGTAAATCAACTGTTACGGTGTCATCCAATCGGAAGCATGTATGACACTACAAAAGTGACGAATAAACTCGCGATTGGATGACACAGTAACAAATTATGATCTGTCAAAGTATGAATAAATCAAAGTTTAACAGCATAGCGTTATGCAATCGACTGCGATCTCGATTTTTTGCGCATAGAAAGTTGTTTAAGAGTTCATCTTCTTTGAACAGGAAATAAACTCATCTTCAGCAGTGAAACTTCATTTTGGGTGACCACTTTCTGGAAAACAAAGGAAAGTCGGGAAATTTCATTGATCTGGAAAAGTCAGGGAATTTTTTAGCTGTTAACAGTTTCATCCAATCGGGACCTTGTATGTCGATATAGTTACGTCACTATGGTGATGTTCAAGCTCCGGATTGCATGAAACCGTTAGCAGCTGATTTACTTCAAACGTACGTATTCCAAGTGTATGCATGCCACTCTGTACTTCTTCGCGCTCCGCCCCCATCCCTTCCCTCTTCGCCGCTGTTCCTCGCACACTCTGCTGCACTATATCCTCTATACTCTTCCTCGCCCTTCTCCACTCCATGTCACTCTCCTCCTCTCCTTTTCAGCTAGCTCCGCCGCGCTGCGCCCCGCCCCGTCC